ATGCAAGGATACGCTGATTTGTGACACATACAAAGGGAAATTTGCAAACATTATTTTGACGTTTTGGTTTTATTCGGAGGAAGTGGTTTCAGTCCATATACACGGTGGACATGTATAGGTTTTCCTAAGTGACGATGCGTCCGAAGGTGGACCGGCACAACCCCTTTTTCCCTCACGAAGTAATAGATAGATGTAGTAACGATGTAATTGGTTCACAATTCCTTACATTCCTATTGGCACCTGATTTTGAGCAACCTCTTAGACAAGCACTGAGGAAGGGTAAATATTGCAAAAGACTAAAGGAACATATAGGGTTTGCTGATCAAAAATTCCCAGAGGAAGGTATATCCAGGTCGAGTATTGAGAGTGGGATCATTCTGTGCAGAAAGCTGGATGCACATGAACTATAGCGGAGTTTCCAAGCCTATTAAACGGCTTGAATAAAATTTACCACTGGAATACAATTATCGGAATCAAAATATACAATCATATCCCAGTTAAAGCTATCCTAAGGATTGCCTAAATAGTCTTCTTCTCGTCTCTGGCGGCATAAGGACGCAGACTTTGCTTGAAGTTGCCGCCGAACTATATGTATATAGCAGGGCGGCAGGGGTTCTCACGAGATAAGTTAACGAGGTCGAATCTTGGCAGCTAGGGGCTCCACCGAGAGCCGAATGGACTGATGGGTAGGAGGAAGCATCCGTTAGGGAAAGATTCAACCTCGCTTGACAGCCTTGAACCATCACTTGGAATTAATTCCATCTTCTGCTGCATCGAGACTGTAGCTCGTTACTCTGGATATCCCCAATGAGGTTTGTGGATTCGCGGGCCGATAGGTCGCTTTATAATTGGGTGGTTCGGAAGAGGTTACCCCCTCCTGCGTCCTGTAATCAGGGGGAGAAGGTGACGGAGGAAGATGGCCCAAATCAGCATATCCTTGCATGCCTAGAGGTGGAGAAGAAGATGTGGAGACACTAAAAGGTCTCTCTTGAGCATCACTACTCGGCGGTAGCCACGCTGGTACTTCATATCCCGAAGAAGGTGC